CCACTGCCTCAACCTAGAGGAAGCCTCCCTGTGATGTGTGCCCTATGCTGCTGCTCCATTGTGTTTACTGCAGGTGCGCTGGTAGAGTTCATTTATGTTGTCTTTGGTCTTATGTCACACTTGCATGAACGTCCAGACTCCTCACCACTCCTTCTTTGCCACTCGTGTGGGTTCACTACCTGGTTCATTTGCATCTTTCATCACACGTGGAGCAAAATCCACACTTCTTCAACCCTGGCCTGCCCGGCTATCTACCCCAGCCTCACCTTTTGCCTGTCCCCCACCTGCTCTCTGCCCTCAAACTTGTTTCTCGGCCACTGATCTCTCTGCTCTCTCTTTCCTGGGAGTCCTGGCCTTCACCTAGGCCTCTGTTCAGATGCTGCGCCCCAGGAGGGGTCTCAGGCTTGTTGTCCCCATGTCACCACCAGCTGTTACAGGATGTGCTCCCTTGTCGTTTCCTGTCTCGCCCACTGGAGTGGGGTCTTCTGAAACCCCTGGGTACTTCCTTCTGCTCCTCCTGTCCCAGCCTGCACAGAGCAGCCTCCACCCCCGCCCCACCTGACGGGACAGCAGGCTGTGCACAGGCAGGGCTTGGGACACTTCTAGAGCACCATAAACAAATGCCTGGCTCATAATAGCTGCTCAATAAATATTAATTGAATAAATCACTGAATGTCATAATAGAATTTCAAGCTGAGCGCCCTGGGAGCTTTAGGAAAGGAGCCATTAATGAGTCCCTGCAGACTTACTCTGGAGTGATTCCTGGTCATTACCAGTGACCTCTTCCTATGGGCAGTCTTTCCGGTGACCTCCAGCCTCCATTTAGAGGAACAAAACTGTGGTTAGCAGGCTGCAGTTAGCACTCCTCTAGAAATGCAGATTGGCTTCTGCATCTGGGTGCAGGCAGCTTTGAGCTGCCCCTCATCCTGGCCTGTGGATGGGAGGGTCCAGCGCCCACCCTCGGGGGTCTCCCTGGCCGGCCCTGTGGGCTGGGCCAGCCTCAGGTGCAGCGTGGCCTGCAGGACTCAGGGCGTACACAGCACTCATGGCTTGGCAGCGCTGGTACCTGCCTTCTTTTCCAGAGAATGAAAACAGGCCCGAGACACCCTGACCAGAGCTCCTCATCTAGAATGGCACCAGCGGGCGCGAGCCCTGCTGGCTCAGGCTACCGGGGCTTTTAGGCATACGAATCTGTGCAATCGTTTGTTTCCTGATAAGAAAGGCTCTTTTACGATTTTCAATTTGCCCTTATTTTAATGAAAAGGAGCTAGGGTTGGACCGCCCAAGAAGGAGCTAATCAAATAAAGCAAATTGGTGTTACCTTCTCCTGGTCCCTATTATTTCTATGGCTCCAGCTGGAATTTATTATGAAAAGCAATTGGTTTTCATATCTGGCAGATAGCAGCCCAGGCCGGACCTGACAGCCCTTTCCTCCCTATCACTCCATAAATAGCTCGCAGTGGCCAGACTGGGGGAGGGGAGGACCCCATTTGCTCCCTACCAGTTTTCTTGTTCCTTGTTCCCCCAAATAGCGAAGACCCTATAAACAAGTCAGGAGGAAACACCAGATTGAAAGTTAATAAGCCAGCTCCTGACCGTGAGATTTGGGCTGTCGCTGTGGCTTCTTGGGGTTCCGTTTGGCATCCTATCAACCTTGCTGTGCTCCAGCCATCAATTACTACTCTTGCTGGGTCTGTGTGCAAGGGAGATAAGCAGGGAGACATTCCTTTTCCAGATTCCTTTCCTCTCTTTGCAACAAAAGGAAGAACTAAAGGAACAATTTAAATCAGGCTCAAACGATCCTTCCTTTATATACAGTGTTCTGCTGTGAGAGGGACCATGGGCTCTGAAAGTGTCCTGGGTTGTTGCTCCTAGAGAAGGAGAGAGAGTGCCTGGGGGACATGCCAGGGATTTGTGGCATGACACCAGAAAGGGGTACAGTGGGCTGGTTCATTTGTTCTGTCCTTACCAGCTGTATGACCTTGAGAAAATTAATTCCCTTCTCTGTGCCCCAAACCTTCTCATCTGTAAAATAAGGATAACAACATCCACAGTTGTCATGGGATTCAAATGAGAAGTAGGTAGGAAGGGCTTTGCCTGCATCTGACACATGGTGAACGCTTGATACATGGCCCCTCTTGTCGTCATAGCAATTGTTGTCATGCCAATTATGACGTTTGGACTAGACCAGGTACTTCTAATGGTACATTGAAATCAGGTCATTCTGTGTTGGAAAGATCAGAAAGAAAGGTGTGGGTACACATGTGTAAGCTGCAGTAGAGAGTGGCATTTCTCATTCTCTACCTACAGGAACAGAGATTTAGCATTGGCCTTAGGAACAGCATCCCCTGCTCTAGGACACTACACTTTGTGCCTTGTCACAGGAGCCTGCTTCACATTTGGGGTCAGGGCCTAGAGGCCATTGGAACTACAAGAAATGCATTTCTCTCTACCCAGGTCCATCTCTGTGCCTCACTGTGTGAGTGATGGGACCGAGGGCAATGAATAAAAGGGGAGGAGATGGGGGAGCCTGCCCAGGTTTGGGTTCTAGCTGGAAAAAGGGACTCTCTGGAGATGCTTGCTGTTCTGAAGCCATCCAGACACTGCTTATGGAGGCTCACTAGGCATGAGGACATTATCTGTTCTCCAGGGGAAGCCACAGGGACATATCATATCGTATTAATTCAGTGGAACAATAGCCAATCTGTCAGATCATAGCTTGCTGCACAAAGGCTGCTGCATCTGGGCCAGGCCAAGAGAAGGGGCTGACAGGAGATCCCAGGAAGCCCATGGATGCTGGGGTGGTGGGCTGGATTTCAGTTGTCTGAATGGAAATTAAGGTGGTTGTCAAGGTCCTGGAGATGATCTGTATCATCCCTGATGATGATAGGGGAAGGGGATTTCTAGGAGGAAGGGCCATGGACCTGAGCTGTTTGGGGTATACTGATCTCTAAAGTTAGACACGTGCTCAGGAAAGAGTATCCAGATCATTCCTGGATTTGTCTGGATTAACCTTGCCTTGACTGTGTGGCTTCAAAAATTCCTATTTAATATAAAACCTCTCAAGAACACCTTCCTTCTCTGATCTTCAGTTATCAGTTGTCTCCTAGCTACTGATTTTGAAAAATTTGCCTTAAAGTAATGGATGAGTGTGTATGTGTGCCTCACTGCTTACAGACAGATGGCCTCTCCCATGGGTGGATGTTCTAGCTGCATCCTACAACAAGCCATTTTATCACATCCTAAGTGCCTCCATCATTGTCCCTGGCAGTAGGACCCTACAAAAGGGGGCCAAGTTTGTTATCATTATTAGTTGTGAAGAACGTATTAAATGGTGGGCAGCATTCTGGGCACCTCACATGCAGTATGTCTACTACAACAGAGAGATCAAATAATTTGTCCAAGGTCACATAGATTATAAAGAACTGAGCCAAGATTATAACCTAGAGCTCACTTCAAATCTCATTATCATCTTTTTTTTTTAAAACTTATGGAGAATTTCAAACATCTACAAATATAGACAGCCTAATATAATAAACTCCTATATACTTATCATCTACTTTCAACTATGGCCAACACATGGCCAGCCTTGTTTCACTCACATCCCCTACCTACCACCACAAACATTGTTTTGAAACATATCTTAGACACTATACAATTTCATCAGTAAATGTTTCAGTATATATCTCTAAAATATAAGATCTCTTTGGGGCACCTGAGTGGCTCAATCAGTTGGGTGTCTGCCTTCAGCTCAGGTCATGATCCCAGGGTCCTGGGATATATATAATATATATATATATATATAATTTTTTTTTAAGGAGAGTTTGTTTACCTCAGTATCCAAGTAAGGCCTACATGTTGTGACTAGTTGATATATCTTTTGTCTCTTTTAATCTGTATATTTCTACTCTAGCATTTTCTTACTCTCATTTTCACATGTTGTGACTGGTTGATACATCTTTTGTCTCTTTTAGTCTATATATTTCTACTCTAGCATTCTCTTACTCTCTTTTTCACTTAATTTGTTGAAGAATCCAGGTCATTTGTCTTGTGGAGTTTCCCACAATCTGGGTTTTGCTGATTACATCCCCATGATTCCTTTACCATGTTCTTCTATCCTCTGTGGATCTTATAAAGTGGTAGATCAAGAGATCTGAATAATTTCAAACTCCTAATTTTTTTTCCTACAACAACGTATTTTATCAGGGACACATTATGTCTGGTTGTCTTTCTTTTGTGATGTCAGTCACTGTTGATGATTCATTAATTATCAGGGGTTGAAAATAGTGATTTGTCACTTCTTCATTTATTGGTGGGAATACTTTTACAGAGAAAGTCCTCTTTTTTTGTAATTTGTTAACTCAAAGGAACTGTTGGTGCAGGAAAGGTAAGATAAATGCCTGATTCTTCCTCATTCTTTTTTAGTTTTCAAAACAATGTATTGGGTCACTAGCCTCCAACAATGATCACTTGGGTGTTTTGTTTATGTGCTTTAGTTTCATTATGAACTTATGGATTTAAATATGTTTAATGTGTTTTAACCCAGAGCAATTGCTATTCTTATTGATGCTGAAATGGTCCATTTTTGGAACCTCTTCAAGTTGGTTCTTGAGTCCTTTTTATATGATTTAAAATCTTTGATACAGCTCACATCATACTTAAGTGAAACTGAATGTTTTCCCTCTAAGATGGGAGCAAGACAAGGATGTTTATTCTCACCATTTCTATTCAACTTTGTATTGGAGGTTCTAGCCAGTGCAATAAGGCAAGAAAAAGAAAAGGCATCTATAATGGAAAGGAAGACCTGAAATGCTACTTACTTATAGGTGACTTGATTATAAATGTAAAAGATCCTAAAGAATCTGCAAAAAATTTTGCTAGAACTAATAAGTTTAGCAAAGTCATAGAATACAAGATCAACATACAAAAATTAAATTGTATATCTATTTATAAGTGGAAACATGGAAAAGCAATACAAAAAGGAAATTTAAATAATGACAATGTTTACTTCAGCAACACATATACTAAAATTGGAGCAATACAGAGAAGATCAGGATGGCCCCTGCACAAGGATCATGCCCAAATTTGTGAAGTATTCAAGTATTTTATTTAAAAAAGAAAAAAAGAAAAATAATTCCATTCATAGTAGAATCAAAAAGGATATAGTACTAGATAAATTTAATTTATAAAGCATAAAACCTGTACTCCAAAGTCTTACTTAGAGAAATGAAAGATTTATATAAATGGAGAGGCACTCCATGTTCTGTGATTAGAAATGATTGGAAGATTCAATATTGTTAAGATGGCAGTTCTTTCCAAATAGATTTTTAGATTCACTGCAACCTCTATCAAAATCCCAGCAGGCATTTTTGTTGTTGTTGTTGTTGTTGCAGAAATTGTCAAACTAACCTTAATGGTTTCTATAGGAGTACAAAGGACCTAGGATAGCCAAAATAATTTTGAAAAATAAGAGCAAAGTTTGAGGACATATAGTATCTGACTTCAGAACTTACTACAGAGCTGTAGCAATCAAGACAGTATAGTATTGGAATAAGGATGGAAAACAGAGCAAAGTATGAAGTCCAGAAATAAAGTCTTATGTTTATGGTCAATTTATTTTTATCAAACATGCAAGTGCAGTTCAATGGGGGAAAGGATAGCTTTTTTTTTTTTTTAAGCAGAAACAAAACCAAAAACAAATGGTGCTGGGAATTGGATATCCATGTGCCAAAAATCAACGTAGTCTCTTACCTCACACCATACACAAAAATTAATTCAAAATGCATCATAGACTTAAATGTAAAAGCTAAAACTATGAAGCTCAGAAGAAAACACAAGAGAAGATTTTTGTGATCTCAGGTTAGGAAAAAAAAATCCTAGATATGATACTGAAAGCATGATTCATAAAAGAAAAATATTGATAAATTGGAACTTTACCAAAGCCAAAAACTTGCTCTTTAAAAGAAACCCATAGGGGCACCTGGGAGGCTCAGTCAGTTAAGTGTCTGCCTTTGGCTAGGGTCATGATCCTGTGGTCCTGGGATCAAGCTCCACATCGCGTCCCCTGCTTGAGGAAGAGAGAGACTGCTTCTCCCTCTCCCTCTCCCTCTACTACTCCCCCTGCTTATGCTCTGTCAAGTAAATAAAGTCTTTTTTTATTTTTTTTTATTTTTTTATGATAGTCAGAGAGAGAGAGAGAGGCAGAGACACAGGCAGAGGGAGAAGCACGCTCCATGCACCGGGAGCCCGATGTGGGATTCGATCCCGGGTCTCCAGGATCGCGCCCTGGGCCAAAGGCAGGCGCCAAACCACTGCGCCACCCAGAGATCCCAATAAAGTCTTTTTTTAAAAAAAAAATTTTATTTATTTATTCATGAAAGACACAGAGAGAGAAGCAGAGACACAGGCAGAGAGAGAAGCAGACTCCATGCGGGGAACCCGATGTGGGACTCGATCCCGGGTCTCCAGGATCACGCCTTTAGCCGAAGGCAGATGCTCAACCGCTGAGCCACCCAGGTGTCCCTAAATAAAATCTTTAAAAAATAAATAATTAAAAGAAACCCATAAGGAAAAGGAAAAGTCATGGACTGGGATGAAACATTTGCAAATCCAATATCGATAAAGGACTTCTATCTAGGTTTTATTGAAGTAGCTCTTACAACACATAAAGAAGAACACAGCTCAATTAAAAATGGGCAAAAGATTCAAATAGACATTTCACCAAAGAACTTAGATGAATGTCTAATGAGGACATGGAAAGATGCTCAACATCATTAATCATTAGGGAGATGCAAATGAAAACACTGCCACACACCCAAGAGGATGGCTGTAATCCAAGTGACGAGACAATGCCAAATGCTGGGAAAGATGTGGAGACATTGGAATCCTCATTCATTTCTAGTCAGAAAGTTAAATGGCACTGCCACTTTGGAACACAGTCTGGCAGTTTTATGTTTATGTTCTCTGATGTACCTATCTTTCACCTCTTGTTGCTGGGTTTTTAATCATGCTTAATTAGGAAGTTTTCTCCACTTGGAGGTTATAGAGAAATTCACCTATATTTTCTCCTCTAGTAGTGTGATTTTATATACCACGTTTAAATCTCTGGTCCAGGGATCCCTGGGTGGCGCAGCAGTTTGGCGCCTGCCTTTGGCCCAGGGCGCGATCCTGGAGACCCGGGATCGAATCCCACATCGGGCTCCCAGTGCATGGAGCCTGCTTCTCCCTCTGCCTGTGTCTCTGCCTCTCTCTCTCTCTCTCTCTCTCTCTCTCTCTCTCTCTCTGTGTGACTATCATAAATAAATAAAAAATTAAAAATTAAAAAAAAATCTCTGGTCCATTTGGAATTCATGCTGCTGTACACTATGAGGGGTAGATCCAATTTTATCTTTTTCCAGATGCCATTATCACTCATTAGAAAGTCAGTCCCCTTCTCCCATTGACTTTTGATGTCTCTTTTAGGGCATGCTAAATTTGCATATGTAAGTGGGGATATTTCTGGATCTCCTATCCCATTCTCTTGGTCTTTCTATGTATTTATATGTTAATTCCATACTTTTGAAAATACAGAGACTTTATGGGACATGTTAATAACTGTTAAGACTAGTTTCTATACCTCGGGCCTCTTTATTGAAGTTTTTCTATCACTGGTGGTTTTTTCCTTCCCAATAAATTTTTCAAAAAATTCTTTAGATACAGCAAAAAATCCTAATGGGATTGTCAGTATCTTTTTTTTTGTCTTTATCTTTTATTTATAAATTATTTGGGGAAGATTGACATTTTTATAATCTTCACTCTTCTTAATCAAGAACATGTTATGTTTTTGTGTTTATTGAACCTGCTTTGTCCTGTAGATTTTTATAGTTTTTCCCCTCAGGTTTTGGGAATTTCTTATTAAATATATGCCTAAGTATTTAACTTTCTTTTTCTCTATAGCATTTACTGTATTACGAAAGTCATATAGCATATATCCGGTGGAGTCCTCTGTCATTCCTTCTATTTGTGTGCGAGGGTGTGCACATCACATACACAAACTATTGAATATGTATCTTAATTTTATACCTTCTTGTTTACTTTTATAATTTGCAGTAGTTTTTCCATTGATCTCATGATCTTTTACCAGATTGCATGAGTGTTATTGGTTTTGCCAGCCATTAGTTTCTCAGATTAAAAGGTTATTTGGCTTGAAGCCTCCCTCATTAGAATGAAGCTCCCTGTTGTCCATGGTATTTCCCTACATGTTCCTCTCTCTGCTGCAGTGGAGGTCTTGGATTGTTTCCCTGAGGCTCTCTAAAATTGTCAGCTTAATCAGGGCTTACCCCAGGAAACCCTGAGATGAGGACTTGCATACAAGCCCTTTATTTGAGAGGCAGTCCCGGGAAACACCAGCAGGAGGCATGAATGTGAGAGAGGAGGGAGAAGGATACAAATATAGGGCTCTTGTCCAGCAGGTCTCCACTTGGGCAATTGGAACTTAGGCTCTGGAAGACCATATAGATAGAGCATCCAGAGTTGTCCTACACATGGGATGAAGAGACCTAGGATTGCTTCAGAGTTATCCCATTTGTGGGGTGAGGGAGTCAGGACTTCACCCCCAAGTTGCCCAATGCTTTCAGGGCCTTAAAAATCACCCAACCAGTAGAGCAAACTGAGACTGGCCCCACAGTCTATGTTAAGCCAGTAGACTTGGGGGAGGCTCTGGAGTCACACTGACTCTGAGTGAATCCTGTTCAGATGCTTTCTGGCCTCAAAGGTTTGGTTTCCTCATCTATATGTTGGGAATGATAATCTTACCTCACAGAGTTGATGTGAGGCTGCAAAAACTGGACAAAGATGTAGCTATGGAATTCGATGTGATGTAGGTGCAGGTGTCAACATCGAGACACACAGGTGGATGCAGATGGAACTAGAGGTATGTAGAGGAGCAGGCATATATAGTTGTAGATGCTGGTGTAGACATACATTTGGAGGTAGACAGGGGCATAGACACACATGTATCCTGCTTCTCCCATGTCAGGCCCTCGCTGGGGCTTGGGATCAATAAGTGGCAGGACTCCTGTGCCTCCTGCTTGACTCTCTGTTCTCAACTCCATTACCATTTCCCTGCTTTTCTCAGGTGGGTGCTGCCTTTCATGCTGTGATGAGATGTACTCAAGCCTTTTCTTGCCTGGCCCTTTCCTTTGGGCCCTAGCCATCCCCCTCACCCCTTCCTCCTTTCCTGGATCCCTTCCCATTAGCTCCAACTTGGTCTTGATTATATTCTGGGACCGCTGTTCAGCCTTGTTTTCTTCAAGCTGTGGGGCCCCTCCGTAGTCTGATTTTCTCTTTGCCATTCTTAGGACCTGAGAACGACAGAGGCAGGGACTTTCCCCATCACACAGCAGAGGCAAGTTCTAATAAAATCAGAGTGCTGGATTAAACACTATTAGGTTGTCATTATTGCAAGTTAAAGAGATGATTCCATTTATTAAGGCCATTTAAGGTGGACACTTCGGTTCCCTGTGGGATTGTGTCCATCTCAAAGTGTCAGGTGATGAGGCTGTTCTCACGTTCTCAGGATGCAACGGGCAGGTCACTGGAGGAAGATGGGTTTCCTTATGTGGGTGTAGTTGTGGACTACAACGGACTGTGGACCTGACAGTATTTTGGGAAGTTCACTCTCTCTGAGTCATACCAGTCATGATCTGAAGACAGTTGGCCTGAATACACTGCTGGGGTTTACTGGCCATGTTTAGAAAGGGAGGATAGTGCAAATCTTTATGTAGCCTCTTCACTCACCAGAAGCTGGACTGGATTGATGTTGCCGCAGATGAGTTTCCTGGGACCAAGGGGGTCCCTGCAACACTCTTGTGGATGTCTTCATTCCTGTGCTGAGGGGGGCAAGACAAATGCAGAACCTGTCTATATGATCAATGTATTCCTTTGTGGGGTGACTAGGTGGCTCAGTGTTTGAGTGTCTGCCTTCAGCTCAGGTCATGATCCTGGGGTCCTGGGATCGAGTACTGCTTTGGACTCCCTGCAGGGAACCTGCTTCTCTCTCTGCCTAAGTCTCTGCTTCTCTCTGTGTGTCTCTCATGAATTAAAAAAAAAAAAAAAAAAAAAAAAGCA